CTCAAACTTCCAGCCTCTTGGTTGGCAGTTAAGGGTGTTAACTGTTTGTGCCTCCCAGGGTCCTAAAACTGTGCCGTCGAGTCAGCTCCTACCCACAGTGACCCTGTATATGGTTTCCGAAGAGTAGCTGGTAAGCTTGAACCACCAACCTTGTGGTTCAAACTGACTTTGCAATCCAATTCAGCACATTAACCCATAGCACCACACCAGAACTCCAGACCCTTAAATGAGGTTGTTGTTGTTGTTAAGTGCCGTCGAGTCGGTTCCGACCCATAGCGACCCTGTACAGGGTTTCCAAGGGTGTAAATCCTTACGGGAGTAGAAAGCCTCATCTTTCTCCCGCAGAGCGACTGGTAGTTTCGAACTGCTGGCCTTAAGGTTCGCAGCCCCTTAAACCTAGGATTTGTCATTCTGAACTCTGTGTTTGCTTGTCTCCCCGACAATGGACTGTGAACTCCTTGAAGGCAGGGGAATGTCTTCTTATTCTTTTAATCTATCCAAAATAATACCAACTTACAGAAAACACTCCATTGATATTTGCCAAAGGGATTGGTACTAATGATATGATGTCACGCATGTAAAAAGAAAGTGAAAAGAGGGTTATGCATGTGAAAAACAGAGAGAGAAAATGAACAAATGAAAAAGTGAATGGAGGGGTGTGTACATAAGTGAGAGAAGGAGACAGGATTGGGGGCTGTGACAGTAAGACTCTATGTGTCAAGATTAAATATGAGTGTGTGTGTGTGTGTGTGTGTGTGTATGCGCACGTGCAGCCTTCCATATGCACTGGGACCAGAGACACATATGCAGCACATGGACCCTTTTTGGCTCTTGTCCAAATGCAATGTAACATGCAGCCATTCCAAAGTACCAGGATTGCTGGCACTGACAAAGAATAACAAACCCAAACAAGAAAAGGAGTCTCTCTTATTTCTGAACTCATCAAAGCCAAGTATCTTCAAATGGGTTTTGTTGATCTTATTTATTCTGATTTATTTGTTTCTGTTGTGCATAGGGTCACTCACTAAGAGTCAGTACCAACTCAATAGCACCTAACAACAAAACAGCACCACTACCTGACATTTACCACCCCATACCAAGCTGGGGTCCTGGTGTGACGCTGTGTGCTAATGCGTCAGACTGCAAAGTCTCCTGAACTGCAAGGTCGGTGGTTCAAACTCACCAGCTGCTCCTTGGAAACCCTATACAGGGTTGCTATGGATTAGAATCGACTCGACAGCACTTAACAACAACAACCAAGCCAGAGGCAGGGGGGTCAATAATATTGACTACAATGATAGCCACACAGCTACAATTACAATGAACTGAGGACTGACTGTGTCTACACCACCATGATCAGGGCTACACTCGTACGATCTCATTTAATCTCAGTAATATTCTGTTGTTGTAACTACTCTTACCCTCATTTTATAGATGAGGAAATGGTCAGAGGGGTTAAGAGACAAACCCAATGTCTAACAGCTAGTAAGGGGAGAGCCAGGATTTGAACCCCTTCTCACTTCTAAAATGGGAGTTTTAATTGCTACTCATATCTGTCTCCCTGTTCCTCCATTCAAGGAGTTAACAATGTAATTTGGCAGTCTTTATAGAAATGAGCAGGCTTCAAAAAGCTCATGGAAGAAAGGACTTGCATGAGAATGGATTTTTTTCATGGGCTTTTTGAAGCTCCCTTGTGTGTGTGTGTATTTCTAAGTATAAGACAGTCTCTACCACCGCTGAACACAAAGGGTTAAAGACTAGCCATCAGAGACCAGCAATAATCGCTACCAAAGCTTGCAGAGACACAGGAGTGGAAAGGTTTCGAGGCCAGATGCACAGAGAAAGTGCAAAGGGAATTCTTAGTGAAGTACTCATTTGAAGCAAGATTTAAAGACTGCACAGGGCTATGGTTGCTGTTAAGTGCCATCAAGTCGGTTCTACTTCATAAGGACCCTGAATAGGGTTTCCGAAGAGCTGCTGGTGAGCTACTGACCTTGTAGTTAGCAGTCTAATGCTTACCCAACAGCACCACATTAGGACTCCATTGTGTTGTTGTTGTTAAGTGCCGTGGAGTTGGTTCTGACCCATAGCGACCCTGTACAGGGTTTCCAAGGCTGTAAATCCTTACAGGAACAGAAAGCCTCATCTTTCTCCCATGGCGCAACTGGTAGTTTCGAACTGCTGACCTTAAGGTTCGCAGCCCGATTCATAACCACTATGCTACCAGAGGTCCTTAGGACTCCATATCTAGACCATACTAAAACGCCCAAAATCCACAGCCATCAAGTCAATTCCAACTCAGTGGCCCTATAGGACAAAGAATTGCTCCTTAGGGTTTCTGAGACTGGAAATCTTTGTGGGTACAGAAGTCTTTGTTGGCCTCTTGCAGAGCGATTGGTGGGTTTGAACTGTCCATCTTGCGGTTGCCAATCTATTACTTAGCCCACAGTGCCACTAAGACTCCTAGGTCTTAAGAGATGCTCAGTTATTCTTTTCTGAATGAATTACTGAACTGATGAGCAGAGTGTATTTGACTGGAAACCAGGAGACTCCTCAAGAAAGACTAGGGTCTAGGTCTGTGATAGAGCCAGGGGAGAAAGGAAGCACTGGGTGGTGCACATGGTTAACACTCTGAGCTTCTAACTGACAGGATGATGGATGGAATCCACCCAGAGGTACCTCGGAAGAAAGGACTGGTTATAACTTACAAAATCACCAGCTACTGAAAACCCCGTAGCGCACAGTCTTACTGTGACACACACAGGATCACTATGAGTCAGAACTGACTTGACATCAGCAGGTCGGGGAGAAAGAGTGAAATTCCCATGTGCCAGAGACTAGAGGACTTTCAAGTCCTGGCCAGTGGGGGTGGGAAGGAGATTCTGAGGCCAAGGGGAGCCAAGGAGAGTTGGGACTAGGAGGCCCCACACAACCTCACAGAGTGGATTTATAAGAAAATGAACCCAGCAGTGACCCATGAGGGGGATGAGTGAAAGATGAAAGGTATGAACATGCCAAACCAGTCCAGGTGGGATGTACCAAGAGCCTGAACTCGGGTGGGTGGTGGGAGAGGGAAGGTAAGTGGTTAAGTGGAAAGGAAGGCAGAGTGGCAAACAGGGCCCAGTGGCTAGACTGTATATAAGAGAGCCAAAAGGGAGTCAAAGGCCAAAGGCCTCTGCAGTTTGGGGAGTTGGTAGAGTGGTGAACCCAGAATAGGGACAGTGAGAGGGTGCACTGGCTTTGAAAGAACAGAAAAGTCTGGTTTGGAGCCTGGAGACTCACAGAGGGAGCTGGCCTTCAGCCATCTGAGATAAGGGACTGAAGCTGGTCCCTGCCTGGAAGTCATCAGTTCAGAGGCGGTAGTGAAACCATGTGAACCTCCAACCATGAGGAAGTAAAGGAAAAGCAGAGTGGACTCCAGGAGGGAAAAATGATGACAGAAGATGACAAATGAGGGATGCTCAGAGGAGGAGGTCAGTGGCCAGGCCAGGGCTGGTTCATGGAGAGACTGAGTCCAGGTATCAGCAGTTCTGTGTCAGGCAATGGAAGCACATCTTTCTCAAGCTTGTGGCTATCCCTGCTTGTTTTGGGTGTCTTTGACACTTTCTAAAATGCAGGTGTAACTACTTCCGTTTAACCTAATATTGCTATAGAAGCTTCTAACCCAAGTCCTGGGGTTCCGAATTCCTACTAGATCCTGGTTAGTAAGAGACAACTAGAATGGAACTGGAGGAAAAGGACCACACCTGACCTCTCATTAATCACAGTACCATCCTCCGGTGTCTCTCTAACACATCATGCTATAACGGGTTATTGGTGGGCAGAATGGTGGCCAGAACAGATACTGGAATGTTTTTGGGGATCATGAAAAGGGAGTACTTCACTTTCCCCTCATTTTGGATGGTACAAAGCTATCTTTAAAATCTAATTTTTCAAATGCTTCCTTCTTAGCACCATTTGAGGAACTCTGGCACCTTCTATGGTGTTGCGTTCTGCAGCCCACATTATCTTCACACTTCCGTGACCTTAGATGTCCCTATAAGCTGTCCAATGACCTTTAAACGCAGGGAGGGGAATTGAGACAAGCAACAAATTGAAATTTTATCACCTGGGTCAGAATAAGTTCAGTGTAAAGCATTTAAGATGAAGACAAGGAACTATAACAAATCATCTTTACTGTAGGAAACAAGACAAAAAGAATCTGATTCTACTTCTTATTCTAGATGGAAAAGCTGTCTACAAACATGCAAATTGCTCAAGGTCATATACAAAGAGCAGAATGTACAACTATGTAGGAAAAATTTTAAAGGAAAGGAAGCCACACTATTCAGAGTCACTGCCCTTGGGTGACGAAACCATGAGAAAATTACCATCTTTTCTCTATTTGTCGTTAAGTCAGTTCTCAAAGCGACTCTCTGCACGACAGAACAAAACACTGCCTGTCCCCGTGGCACTGTGCCAATCTAGCTCCTTGAGTGTCTTCTTCTTTTTCACCGATCCTCTACTTTACCAAGCATGATGGCTTTACTAATCATCTGTTAATCTATTAATGAAAAAAGTCATACTTGAAAACAGGAATCCCATGATTGCCACAACGAACCGGTATGGAACATATGAACTAGTTTGCTTTGAAGTCATTTCCCTTGTTTACCTTGTCCGTGTCCTGCTATTTCAAAAAGGATCAGAAGATATTCTTGAGGAGCTTCTGACATATCTCCCATTTTAGGGAAATCTGTTCTCATAGCACCTGTTCAATATCTCAAACACACTTTCTGCTGTCGACAACTTTGCAGCATGGGCTAGCGACTGACAACTTGGGGGAACAAACTACCTGTTTGCCTAAGCTGTCCTCCCTATTTTAACTTGAACAGTCTACTAAGTCTGCATGAATAACCAGAATGAAACCTCTCTCTTTTATTAATGCAGTGTTCAAAGCTTTGTACCACACTCAGGCCATTGTAAAACCTACACCCAATTATGTGAACTTAAATTGTAATTACCTCTTTAGATTTCCGATGCCAGTCCTTATTGTCCCCGGGGCCTCTGTCTTTCAGCTCCTCCTCATTGAGACCCAGACGGTTGGTGTAGGTGATGGTCCGCCAGTCTCGAGGGGAGTTGGAGATGCTAGCGATTTTGGATTCCGTAGCACTGTTCTCCTCTGTCAGGGACCTAGAGGAAGGCCTGGTGAAGAGGCTTTTTTTTAAGGCCTTGACACGCAGGCTTTCGCTATTACTTCCGCTCGCGTCCGAACAGCACCAGTCTGCGTTGTTCTCCAGCTTAGGTCCGTGGGAGTCATTGTGCGCACGGAATATCCGCGGGGAGGCGCTGTCGTCAGACGGAGCCTCACTGGTCAAGGAATTCAGATCGATCTGCACGCTCACCTCCGGCTGTTGCATTTTCTGATCCAATTTATTTAGTTTACCCAAGACCTGGGAGATTTCCTCGCGGACTCCGGACAACGATTCGAGCTTGCGCTCAATTTCACCGATCCTGAGCACCAGTTTGCACACACTGGTCTTCAGCTCGTCTTCAGAGTGGTGGTGGTGCTCGGGCCGGTTGCCCTTGTCTGCCTTGTGACTGGGAACGCCGTTGGTGATCTTGGGTAGGTTGTGCTCAGGAGAACTGTCGCAGTCTGACTTGTGAAGCTGAGACAAAGACCCTGTGCTGTTGTAGCAGGAAGACTGTATCACCCCGGTGGAACCACTGATGCTCATATCATCGAGAAAACGGAAAATGTCACTGATGTCATCGCTGACAATCTCTGAGTCATCGTCTGAATGCTTCCGGGCATGTCTGTCGCTGTACTTGCTCTGGCCAGAGCCACTCAAGTCTTTACATTTCTTGGGCTCTAGCACGTGCTGTTCTGTCTGGGTGCCCACGCTACTGGTATCCGAGCTGAGCTGCCCACTGGTGCAGCTAATACTCTTGTCCTTAAATTTTTTGACTGGTTCGTGTTTGTCCAGGTCCAAAGGGGATGGGATATCTTTAGATTTGAGTCCGTTGGCTTTCGCGGCATAGCCAACTGGAAGAATCTGCGCTTGCTCCTTTGGTGTGAGGTACCCTTGGCGCCTGTCTGGGGCTGGAAAATTGGGGGACTGGCTGCTGGAGTTGGGGTAGCGGAGTTTCTCCTCAGAGGGATTTCTATTGAAAAAGGACCTTTCAAAGTCAGGGACTTCTTCAGTGTTTAGACTCCAGCTTTTGGCTGGCCAGGGGGTCTGTTTGCTTGGCCTCCCAGGGCACCTGCGGGCTTCCACCACTGGAGTGGGGCCGAAATATGTGGAGGCTTGAAGGTCATCTAAGCTTTCGTGCTTCACGCGCCTTTTGTCGGCCAGTGGCGAATACACTGGGTTCAGGTACTGGCTGTTGTAGGGCATCTCAAAGCTGTGGTTAAAGAAAGGTGGCTTGTGGGGCTCCTTTCGACTGGAGGGTTCCCCATGCTCAGCCTCTGCTTTGCTAGCAGGACCTACCAAACTCGGAGCGACCGTCATGAGATTGTGAAAGTCCTCTTTAAAAATATTCCTTTTCTGGACACAGGACTGGACCACGAAGGGCTCCTCGTTGGAAATGAAGGTCTCCTTGAGGCCTGGGGTGATAGACAAAGAGTCAGGGTCTGAAATGGACTCGTTTTCAATGTTCATGGGGAAGTAGGTTCTCTGCATCTCGCAGGGTTGGGGGCTGGCAACAGTGTACGGGGCCAGGGCCTGAGGTCTGTCCAGGGATGCGGCGCGGGGTTTCACCTCTTTGCTAACACCCAGCAAGAAGCTGGGCTCAGAGGCAGGGACAAACTGTGGGCAGTCCTTGCAGTCCATCTTCCGGCACTTGGACGACTGTCGGGCGGGGTAGCCCCTGGTGAAAGGTCGCTCGGTCAGCTCACAGTTGAGGGGCCCACACTCGGCCGCGTTGCAGGTCTCGGTCTCAGCTCGGCACGACTCGAAGGATGAGTCCTTCTTGCGGACTTTCTGGCGACTCACAGGCAGTTTTTCCTTGGCGGCTCCCCCATTCATCTGGATCAGGTTGAAGATGGTCACAATGTCGGCGGCCACCATGATTTTCTTTGATTGCTGGTTATTTACGGTGCATTTCATCTTGTCTTTGAATAACGTGGCTGGAAAATTGGGATCCAGGCAAGCTGTGTAGAAGAGCACACTTCTCAGCTTGGCAAGCTGCGACAGATCAAAGCGGGCGCACAGGGATTTGCATAGGTCTTGGTAGGAAACAGTGTTTTGCTTGCTGTCTAGCTCCTCCAAGATCTTCACCAAGAAGAGAGATGTTTCCTGATTGGCCTCCATGATTTAGAATTCCAAAGGCTTGCGAACTGCACTGAAACTTCAGGCCACTTCTACATGACAATATCAAAAAAGACAGGAGAGAAAAGAAGGTTATCACGACCAGCAGAGGATTAAGTCACTCTTGTTATGAAGCGCCTAAAGAAATGCAAGGATTGGCAAATGCTATGTTAGCTTTATTTTTACAAAAATCGAATTGAGAAAAAGAAGACGGGGGAACAGCATTAAAACAAAACAAAAAAACACAGATAAAGCAACCCTTTTTAATGACATTGTAATAGGTATTAAGGGTCATAAAAATATTCCCTTTCCAGGACTCTACCGTAAGTCAGTTATCAATCATGGTAACCATTTATACATAAAGATGCTCAATGTGTTGATATTTATAATAGTAACATCAAATAAAGCCATGATGTGTGTGGTTGAGATGAATCCATCACATAGGGAGGCTGTGGGAAGGGTTTCCAGCTGTGATCTTTATAGGAGTAGATTTGTTATTGTTAAGTGCCATAGAGTCAATTCTAACTCACAACAACCCTGCAGAGGGTTTCTGAGGAGTGGCTGGTGGGTTTGAACTGCAGACTTTACAGTTAGCAGTCCAGTGCTTATCCCACAGGAGTATGTATTCTACCGTGAGTAGATACCAGGGTTTAGTCTCTGTAGGAGCCACTAGTAGGTACAAACCACTGACATTTTGGTTAGCAGTAGAGCACTTAACCATTGTACCACAAGGTGCCTTAAAAGCAATAATAAACCCCAAACCCAATGCCGCAGAGTTGGTTCTGACTCATAAAAACCTTTTACAGCATTTCTGAAACTGTACATCATGACTGGAGAAACAGTCTCAACTTTTTCCCAAGGATTGATGGTGGACTTGAACTGCCGACCTTGGGCTTAGCAGTCCAATGTGTAAACCACAGCACTCCAGCATGTATCCCTATAATTAAAAAACTAAAACCAAAACTTCAATTGAGTCAATTCTGACTCAAATTAGAGTTCAAAAATCAGACCTTAATTAAAAAATTGCATAAATGAAGACTTCTTATATATATATATAACAAAAGAACACTATAATTATAAAAACTTTATAAAATTGAATGAAAAAAATCTGAAAATGAAGCTGTATATGTAGTAATATTTATATATGTAAGTAAAATTTAAATGAAAAAAATACTAATGCCCACTAAAATGCTATTGGTGAAGTTTGAATGAATGGTAGGTAGAATATAGCTTTTTTTTTACTTAGTCATCTCTCCCCCCAGTATTTTATTACGCAAACTTGCAAACATGCAGCAAACTTTAGAGAATTTTCTAGAGAAAGCTCATATGCCCACCATCTGGATTCTACCATTAACATTATTTTCTTTATCACATATCTATCCGTATTCAAGCTATTTTATTTTTTTTATTTGCTTCAAAGTAAATTGGAGACATCTGTATACTTTCCTCTAAACAGTTCAGAATGCATATCATTAACCCAAGTCCATTGACTATTTATAGTTTTTCTTTTAATATAAAATTTACATGCACTAATCTTAAATGTGCATTCACTGAAGTTTTAACAAATGCATATGCCTGTGTACCAAAACTCTACAAATATATAGAAGGTTTCCATTGCCCCAGAAAATTCCCTCATGCCCTTCCCAGTCAAGCACTTTTCTTATTTTTTAAAAATGATTTTTATTGTTTCCTTGCAATTTCCAACCTTTAAAAAAAAATTCTACCATCAACGTGTTTTACTTTGTAACCACACAATAATCATAAACCTTGAAAATGCAAAGAAGCTACATCAACTAGTCTGGGATGAAAAAACAAAAACATTGAACCAAAGTTTAACAAAACTTTATGAAAGAAGGTAAATTAAAACCCACTACCACCCAGATGATACACTCTTGCTTGCTGAAAGTGAAGAGGACCTTAAAATACTTACTGATAAAGATCAAAGAGCACAGCCTTCAGTATGGATTGCATCTCAATGTAAAGAAAACAGAACTCCTCACCACTGGACCAATAAACAACATTCTTATCAATGGAGAAAAGATTGAAGTAGTCAAGGACTTCATTCTTCTTGGATCAACTATCAACACTCATGGAAGCAGCAGTCAAGAAATCAAATGACGTATTGCATTAGGCAAATCTGATGCACAAGACCTTTTTAAAGTGTTGAAGAGCAAAGATGTCAGTTTGAGGACTAAGGTGCACCTGGCCCAAGCCATGATTGTTTCAATAACCTCATATGCATGCAAAAGCTGGACAGTGAATAAGGCATACCATAGAAGAATCGATGATTTTGAATTATGGTGTTAGAGGAGAATATTGAAAGAACCAACAGATCTGTGTTGGAAGAAGTACAGCCAGAGTGCTCCTTGGAGACCAGAATAGCCAAACTTCAGCTCTCATACTTCGGACATATTGTCAGGAGGGACCAGTCTTTGGAGAAGGATATCATGTTTGGTAAGATGGAGGGTCAGAGAAAAAGAGGAAGACCCCCAGAGAGATGGATTGGCCAAGTGGCAGCATCAATGGGCTCAAGTATGGCAACAATTGTGAGATTGGCCCAAGACCGGGAAGTGTTTCATCCTGTTGTGCATAGGGACACTATGAGTTGGTACTGACTTGATGGCACCTAACAACAACCACCACCCAGTCTATTCTAACTCACAGTGACCTTGTACAGAATTCCCAAGAGTATAAGTGTTTGCAGGAGCAGAAAGTCTCATCTGTATCTCACAGAGCAGCTAGTGGGTTTGAACTGCCAACCCTGTGATTAACAGTCTGGTTTTATCCTACTTCACCAATACAGCTCCTTGTTGTTGCTGTTCAGTGCCTTCTAGTCAGTTCCAACACATAACGACTCTGTATAGGGTTGCCGAGGTGCAGCTGGTGAGCTTGAACCACTGACTTTGCAGTTCAAATCAACCTTGTAGTCTAGCACATTAACCCACAACACTATACCAGGGTTCCTTAAGAGAAGGTAAAGCTCATTGTTAATACGCATAAACAAGTTGTTGTTGTTAAATGCCATGGAATTGTTTGTAACTCATAGCGATCCTGTATAGAGTTTCCAAGGAATAGCTGGTGGGTTTGAACCACCAACCTTGCAGTCTAATCACCACACCACAGCTCCATACACATGAACATGTTGTTGTTGTTGTTAGGTACCATCAAGTTGGTACCAACCCATAGTGACCTTACGCACAGCAGAATGAAACACATGAACATAGGCTCTGAGAATTATAAGGGAACATTATAACTTTACCTATTAGCTTCCTCGGTAAGAACTTGCTTTTAAAAAAATCATACATTTTGATAGTGGATTGGTTGAATTTAAAGCTGACTCAGTCTAGGTCTTCCACGGGGACTGCGTATTTCCTCTGGATACAATTTTACCACTCTTGGGGGTGCATTGGGCTGTAAATGGAAAGGTCAGAGGTTCACACTCTCCAGCTCCTTCTTGGGGAAAAGCTGAGTTGGTCTGCTTCATAAACATTTTTAGCATCAAAAACCCTATTGAGCAGGCATGGACTTTATAGGGTAGTTGAGTCAGAATCCACTCCAGTGCTGGGAGAGGCAACGAACCTGAATTTCATCTAACAGCAGCTATTCCTGAATCCTACCAACCAGTTGCCTTCGAGTCCATTCCAAGTCATCGTGACCCATGTGTGTCAGAGTAGAAGTCAACTCCATAGGCTTCTCAAGGGCTGACTTTTCCAAAGGAGATCGCTAAGCTTTTCTTCCAAGAAGCTACTGGATGGACCCGAGCCTCTGCTCAGCATCCCCGGAACTCACTATGGGCTTCAGTAAACATAAGCTTGATCTCTCCCTTGGATGTCTGAAGGAATTTGAAGAAACCAATGATTTGGATTGCATTGACTTTTAAGAGTAATGAATCTCTGAGCAGTTCTGTTCTTACCCGGAGCACATCATCATTACCTTCATTCGAATGCCCAGGTCTCCCAGCCCAGAGCTCTCTGACCTGCCTCGGACACCCAACCCATCTGATGCAAGCATTCTGTGTCAGAATGTTCTGGTTTGTTGAATGTGTGGGTTTTAAGTCAATAAACAAGTAGAGAAATCAGAGTGGAGAGCAAATGAATCTAATTTAGGGAACAGCAACTACAAACCATGCACATCGTATCTCATGGTTTCGGAGAACAAAGCACTTTAATAGATCCTCTTTTCTTTAGACATCATAACAACACTGCAAGGACTCCTTCTCTCTTATTATTAATCCCTGGCAGGTGAGAAAACAGGCTTGAAGAACTTAAGGGACAAGCAACTGGGAGCTAGGAAAATGAAGGCAGCTCTTTCAGCCTAATCCCATGCTTATACCCCACCTCGAGCTGCTCAGGAAGATCTTTTGCTATCTTGGGAGGCTTCCTAAACTTTTCTAGCCTATTGTACATGGCTGAAAATTAATCCTAGGTTAGACCTCCTAGAAATGAGACACTATGTGCATCAAAATATTTCACCAAAGAAGGAAAAGCAGAACCCACAAACTAAGACAACAGTTTTGGTGTTGACATATTAGACAATGGATTAATCTCTAAAATTTATAGAAAAACTCCAACACCTCAATAAAACAAAGGCAAAGAATCCAATTACAAAATGGGCAGAGGACACAAACAGACACTTTACCAAAGATCTTTGGGCTGCCACCAAACATACAAAGAAATGCTTGCAATCATAGGTCATTTATTGTTGTTATTAAGTGCCTTTGAGTTGGTTCTGACTCATAGCGACCCTGTATAGGGCTTACCAGGAGCAGCTGGTGGGTTTGAACTGCCGACCTTGTAGTTTGCCATCCAGTGCTGATTCTACAGCGCCACACCAAGAATCCATTAGCCATTAGAGAACTGCAAATCTAAACATAAGCTAGCATCCCACCCAGATTTAATAGTAAACTTAAAATGACAACAACATCAAAAAACAGAGAATTACAAATGTTGGTAAGTGTATGGAGAGACTGGAACCTTTCTACACTGCTGGTGGGACTGTAAAAT